CCCCCACCCCGCCTCACTGCTGCCCCCAGACACCTGTGCACACGGAGACTCTGGGTGTGAATGATGTAAATATCCAGATGGCCCTTGACAGGAAAAAGGTTCCCCACCCCTGACACGTGGAGGGTTGGCCCGTGGATCCGGGCGGTGGAGGCACACCCACCCCACATGGGGGCTCCCCCTGAGTCCTCCTCTCTGTCTCCCTCCCTCCCTCCCTCCCTCCCAGGTGCGTTTGCTGGGAGTGGTGTCCCAGGGCCAGCCAACCCTGGTCATCATGGAGCTCATGCCCCGCGGAGACCTCAAGAGTTACCTCAGGTCTCTGAGACCGGAAATCGAGGTGAGTTTTGGTTTTGTTTGTTTGTTTGTTTTTAATATATGTTTTTTTGTTGTTGTTTAACTAACCTCACCCATGCATATTTTTTCCTATTGATCTTTAGAGATAACCTTGCACGATTTTAGCGCCATCCAAAAAGAAAACATCAATCTCTGTTTTGAGCTTCAAATCCTTTTTATAAAAAAGCATATTTTTTTATTTTTTTTTTTTTAGAGAGAGAGGAAGGGAGAGAGAGAGAGAGATAGAAACATCATCAATTGGCTGCTGTTAGTAAATGTTTCCGAAAATCGTGCTTAATAGAAAAAGACATTTTAAGTTTTTTCCTATTTCGCTTTCCGAAGCAATGGCTAGCACCCAAGGTTATCGTAGCCAAATTTGGTTATCATAAGATGTTCTCCAGTAATTTTTAAATAAAACGTTAAATAGCTTATAGCCCTGCCCTCTCCCGCCACCTTTGAGTCTCTCCGCACCAGAGGCGGATTTGGCAGCGGGGTTTCACTACAGATTTTAGATTCCAAATACAAATTAAGATTTTAATTTGGACAAGAAACCACATTGAGATTCTTTTTTTCTTTTTATCAGCCTGATTTAAAAGAGTACCTTTTAATATTCCTATTTCTTGATAATTTGGCTTTTTTGCACAGGTGATTCTATTAACGGAGAACTAAACATTTCAGGGTTAGGACATGGAGGGGGCCATGAAGGCCATTTCTTCCCATTTTTTTTTTCTTTCTGCTCCTCTTTAGGAGCGGAGGGTGCACGGAAGAGATTTATCCTCCACGGCCTCTGCTAAAGGCTCTAGCAAATGAAATACCGTTTCCCACAAGGGGAAACAATTTGGAGGCAAGTTTTTTCCCTGCTGCTGACTTTTTTTATTCAAGTTCTGACTTTTTGGCAAACATTCAAGATCTCATGTACCTTTTTCAAGAAAACAAGGGTTATGTTCTATAATAACATGCAAAGACTATAAGAGATTACCTTCTAGCCAGGACTGGTTTGGCTCAGTGGATAGAGCGTCGGCCTGCGGACTGAAGGGTCCCGGGTTCGATTCCGGTCAAGGGCATGTACCTTGGTTGCGGGAACATCCCCAGTGGGAGATGTGCAGGAGGCAGCTGGTCGATGTTTCTCTCTCATCGATGTTTCTAACTCTCTATCTCTCTCCCTTCCTCTCTGTAAAAAAAAAAAAAAAATCAATAAAAATATATTTTTTAAAAAAAGAGAGAGATTACCTTCTAAAACTTTAACCCCTTAAGCATGCAAATCAGAAGTCTATAATAAAGTTCCTTACTTTTTAAAAGCCGAATCCTACCCCTTTAGCCTGGTTAAGAAAACGTCCCCACCCCACCTACAGACCCGGGCTCCTGTAGCTGATTGTGGGCTTTTGTGGGGGGTGAGATAATCCCCCACCTTTACAGTGCCTACCTTCAGGGTGAATTCTTTGTTCCTCAACTTTGCCGGTGATGGCTCTTGCGAAACCTTCACTTCCAGAGTTCCCGTCGGTCGCCGGAAGTCGTAAATGTTTCCCTCCACGTCCCGCGTGGCTCTGGGTTCAGGATCTGGAAGAGGAGCCGCACACAAATGAAAGAGAAAAGACACGAGATAATTTGGAAATATTGGGGGAACAGGCAGGTAAGTCCAACTCCGGAGAAAGTCTTTTCTCCTGTCCTTTCTCTTTCGTTTGTGTGCGGATCCTCTTCCAGATCCTGAACCCTGAGCCACGGGGGACGTGGAGGGAAACATTTACGACAGACTGCCTCCTGATTGGCTGCCCTCCTGCACGCCCCCTACCGGAGAGCCCGCAACCAGGGCATGTGCCCTGATTGGGGCTCCAACCGGTGACCTCATTGTTCCTGGGTCGATGCTCAACCACTGAGCCACACCAGCCAGGCATGAAATTTAAATTCAAAACGGGCTGAAGTCTGTACCATTTTCTTTTCTTTTTTTAAAATATATTTTATTGATTTTTTACGGAGAGGAAGGGAGAGAGATAGAGAGTTAGAAACATCAATCAGCTGCCTCCTGCACACCTCCTAGTGGGGATGTGCCCACAACCCAGATAAGTGCCCTTGACCGGAATCGAACCTGGGACCTTTCAGTCCGCAGGCCGACGCTCTATCCACTGAGCCAAACCAGTTTCGGCCAGTCTGTGCCGTTTTCATTCGTCACCCCGGTGCCCCCCCTCCTGTTGTGCGAACCCACGAGCCCACTTGTTAACACACGGAGGCGTGACTTTTGAGTAATTCTGAGAACAGACCGGTAGATGAACACTTAGAAACAACAGCTGGAACATCCATCCTTCCTTTGGCGACCCCGGTGGGACCAAGTGCTCACTGCGACCCTGACTTCGCTACGTGCCCAATAGCTCTGATGGGGCTGCTGGTGTTCCCAAAACACTCCCCGTACCAGCCCTCCTCCCACCCCTCCCTGTCGGAGTCTCTGTCTCCCCCTCTCTCTGTGCTTAATCTTTGGTTTTCTTTGCGCAGTTTAATCATCTTCCAGGTAGCAGTTCCTTCATTTCAGTTCTGAGTATCTGTGCCCATGTGGCTTCTTCAGTCACAGCAGACAGAGGAAGCCACATGGGCACAGACACTCAGAACTGAAATGAAGTTCTGTGCATCCTTCGGCTGGGCCGAATGCGCTTGGTGGTTCTGGGAGGGCCACGAGTGTGGGCGGAGGCCACTGGCGCCCACCCCCCGCTCCACCCAACAAGGGGCCCCAGCGACCCTGTTCTGTCTGACTCGAAATAGCAAAGGCCGGTCCCCAGTTGTGCCTGGGGGTGTTCCTCTCTGCAGCCCTGTGTGATGTGGTGGGCCGGCAGCGCGCGGCTTAATCGCGAAGCAGATGCTGTGGTCTCCGCAATAACACAGTCCTTCTCCTTTTTTAAAAAAAGAAAGGAGAGGGAAAGATAGATACATCAATGATCAGGGAGAATCATGGATCGGCTGCCTCCTGCACGCCCCCTACTGGGGATGGAGCCCACAACCCGGGCATGTGCCCTGACCAGGAATTGAACCGTGACCTCCTGGTTCATAGGTCGACGCTCAACCCCTGAGCCGTACCGGCCGGGCGAACACGTTCCTTCTGAACAAGGCCCGATTCCTGGGCAGAATACCCCGTGCGGCTCAGGCTGAGCGAAGATGGGTTTGCAAACCTCGAGAAACGCCTGGATTCTCACGGGAATTGTTGTCTTTTTGTGTCTCCAACAGAACCACCCCGTCCTCTCGCCGCCGACCCTCAGCAAGATGATCCAGATGGCAGGGGAGATTGCGGATGGCATGGCGTACCTCAACGCCAACAAGTTCGTCCACAGGGACCTGGCTGCCCGGAACTGCATGGTGGCTGAGGATTTGACCGTCAAGATCGGAGGTGAGTCCTTGGCTGCCAAGATCTGGGCAGGGCCTCGACGCGCGCGAGTGTTTTAGGGGGCGCGTTGGGGTGGGCCCCCCTGTGGGGAGGTTCTCCTGTGCATCTCCTGGGCACAGAGGCTTGCTCTTGGGAGTAACGTCTTCATCTCCAGGTGACAGCCAATCACAGGCCCGGCCAGGCTGGCATCAGTGATCCTGATGGCGCAGTGGGCACGCGGACCAGGGCGTGGGCTGGGCTCGGCTGAGGCCCCTCAGGTTGCCTCTCCTGGGATTTGGGGCCTTTCATGGCAGGATAGTTCTAAGCATCGGTTGTGGAAATAATCGAGACAGCGTTCTCGGGTGACGCTGACTTAGGATTAATAGTTGCCATCCAAAGTGCCAACTTTGCCCGGCTGGTGTGGCTTAGTGGTTGGACGTTGACCTCTGAACCACGAGGTCACGGTTCGATTCCCAGGGCAGGGCACATGCCTGGGTTTTGGGCACGGGCCCTCCCCCTTCCTCTCCGAAATCAATAAACATATACAAAGTACCAATAATTTCCCTCCAATTTTCTTTTTTTTTTTAATTATATTTTTAAACAAAAGATTAAGCACAGAGACAAGCTACAGAAACTCGTGACTGGGAATCGAACCCTGACCTCCTGGTTCAGAGGTCGACACGCAACCACTGAGCCACACCGGCCGGGCGCTGCCTCTCATTGAAGTGCAATGAGGGATTAACTTTAATTTTAAAGAATCAAGGTGAACGTGTACTTAGCAGCAGAGCCTTCCTGGTGTTTGCTGGGCACGTGGCTCATCGCTCATGCCTTGCGGGCTCTGTCGATGGGATTGGAGGCCCTGCCACGCGGCCCCTTGAGGAGGCGGGGCTGCCTCGCAGCAGGGATGTCCTGTCCGTGCCTGTCCCCGGAGAGTCATCCTCCTGCCTCCTCCCCGCCCCGCAGACTTCGGCATGACTCGCGACATCTACGAGACCGACTATTACCGGAAGGGCGGGAAGGGGCTGCTGCCTGTGCGCTGGATGTCCCCCGAGTCCCTCAAGGACGGCGTGTTCACCACCCACTCTGATGTCTGGTAGGCGAGACGGTCCCCCGGATGCGCACCCCACCCCCGACCCACACTCCTCCCTCCCTTTTTGGCTCAGCAGAGAGAACCAGGGGTGGGGGGTCCCCAACTGGGAGTCGTCAAGCGGCTTGACTGTCCCCTGTGCACTTGCCTGGGGTCCAAGTTCAATGGCCCCTGAACCCCCCTGCCCTTCAGTGTCCTGCGCTCTGCACTGACTCAGTGACCAGGGCTGCACTGATCTGCAGGAGCCGTGGCGGCAGCACAACACAGTATATAAATACTGCAAATACACCAATTGTTAAAACATTTTCCAAATGACTGCTGACTGATGTCTATGCTTATTGGGGAGTTGATTCTCTTCGAAAGACAACAGGGCTTGAGTAAACATTAGGACCTTAGGAAAGCAGTTTAAACAGAAGATGGTATGGCACCACCCCGCCTTGGCAGGGCGCACTGCAGCTGCTCAGGCTGATGTCTGTGAAGTGTTACACGGATGCCACCCATGCTCACCTTCTCCGCGCGGAGTTGGTTGTTGTTTTTTAATAAGGCAACACGACAGCGGTTTCTGGGGTTTTTTTTTTAATACATTTTTATTGATCTCAGACAGAGAGTAAGGGAGAGAGATAGAGAGTTAGAAACATCGATGAGAGAGAAACATCGATCAGCTGCCTCCTGCACATCTCCTACTGGAGATGTGACCCCAACCCAGGTACATGCCCTTAACCGGAATCGAACCCGGGACCTTTCAGTCCGCAGGCCGACGCTCTATCCACGGAGCCAAACCGGCTTCGGCAAGACTGTAAGCTTCTTGATGACATAGTCTGCTTATGGTGATGGGAACAGTGCCCCATGTTTCTATGGCTATCCCAAGCCATTTCTATCTCTTTATGCTTCCACTTTTGCTTTGCTGGGCTGCCCCCATCCAGCGTTTTGTGTCCTGAAGCTTCTGTTTTTTTGTTAAGCACACGTTACTCCAACCAGGAAACAGAAGCACTGTGTCCAAAGCACCAACAGGAAATATTACAAGTATT